GGGTTGTGTCCTCTGTCGCCACGTCATTTTGGAAATAAAACTGTTTTGAAAGAGGGAAATCCAAATATTGCCTCGTCTACAGTTTTCCATCCTTTTCCGTTCTGCTGTTGTCCTGTTATTGCCCTTAAAATTAACACCATCAAAAGCAAAAGCGAAACGTAAAAGAACGACAGTAGCAACAACCATGTCAACAAAACATAGCAGAAACAACATAATTTTTTTATTAACAACAACAACAAAGCAACAAAATCAATGACCAACGCAGAACCAACAAAAGCTGGAACAATACCCTTTAGTTTTAGTCTAAGTGAGAATTTTACCGACCTTGCAACACAATTAGACCATATAAGTGCCAAAGATTACAGCTGTTACTGGATATTAACGTACCTACATAATATAAAAGAAGGGGGAGAGATAAATATTTTATAGGAAAGAAGAAGCAAACCACACCGGAGCACATACCAACCACCCACAAAAGTGGAACTAAATAACAACAACAATAACAACAACAAAAGCAACGACAATAATCAAACTAAAGCTACAGTATCTTAATAAAAATAGTAACAATAACAAAAACCACAGCTACAGCAGCAGCAGCAACAACAACAACAACAACAGCTGCAGCAGCAGCAGCAGCAACAACAGCAACAACAAACAATAGGTTCAGAAATACTAAGATCAACAAAAGCACAAGCTGCAACTACTATAAAACAACAACAACAGCAACAACAACAACAACAATACAAATAAAAGCCTTGCTACACATTTTACTTTCAGGAACAAGATGTGAGGGAGTAGAGGACGCCTGTGAGCCCGACCCTTGCAACCAAGGTATCTGCTTCGTCCACAGAACAGACTACGGCTTCCACTGTGCCTGTGCCAATGGCTGGGAGGGGAAAACGTGCGAGAAAAGGGAAGATCCCTGTCAGTCTTCTCCTTGTCACAACTACGGAGCTTGTCTCTCTAAGTAAGTGCATGATTCCAAGGAAATTCAAAACACTACTCATACAGGAATTGTATCCAAAGGCTGCGTGCTGTATCAAAAACATGATATGAATACATATCATCCTTTTAGTAAATTAAATTCTTAATCTCAACCCACTTTGCAACGTAGTATGGGTAAATAGATGTATGAGTTTAAAGCCCCTTTCAACACTATTAGGCTGTTTAAGAAGCAGGACCGTCTCCGATAGTCTGTCTCCAATAGGACTGAGCCAAAAGGGTTGAGAGCAGTGAGGGCTAGATACTCTAAAATGCACTGGTTGAAAGCTTTAAAAACTCCACAAAACAACCTGAGTTCAAGAATACCCAATCTGGGATTCGAACCAGGGTCAAACTGAGCAAATAGAGCCTCCCCCTCTAACTCTAAATTTTTAAGTGCATCCCTGCTCTCAATGGTTACCTCACACTCCTTATTTATAATATAAAGTTCTATACAAGTACCAGCATACCTCTACAGCAGCTGTGATACAAATAAACATGACCCATTTGTAACATCTGAATTTGTCTCATCATCATCATCATCTTCATCATCATCACCATCATCATCACCATCACCATCATCATCATCATCATCATCATCATCATCATCATCATCATCATCATCATCATCATCATCAGTGACATTGTTATGGTTATTATCATTAGTACATGTATTAATATAATTATCAATGTAGTTATTATTGCCATTGTTATTGTTAATTGTGACATTGCGGAAGATATTATTATAATAATATACATAGTTTCCTAACAAAATTGAAAAAGAAACTGAAGGAAAGAACCTTATACGGGCAAAAGGAAAAAAACAAATTTTTACAAGGTGGTAACTAAACACAGATAATTGTCAGTGCATGATGTCTATGCTTCCTAAAGCTGCTTATGTTCACAAGGGAAAATGCAAGATAAATGATGCCTGTCACTGAGGGTCTGGGACTACATAATTTAGAGAAGGGATTGGGAGTGCTTATTTGGGCCACATATGGCCTAAATAAGGTAAGGGAGGGGGGTTTAGCTTATTTAGGCCACACATGCTCAAACTACCAGGGGACACCCTTTTAAGGCAACTGAGTTCGTTCCACTTTCATAATGGTGCACCTTTCTCATTTAGTACAGTTTTGTCTCAGTGTACAACTTATATATATCATAATGAATATTGTAAGAACAAAGCACGATACGCAAAGTTTTGCTCAATCTCAATGGCTTGAATGAGGGCCAGATTTTTCCTTCATGGAGGGGCAAAATCTAGGCTACCATTTTGGCACACTTTGGTCAAGTAAAAAGGTCAAATCCTCCGAATGGACTTCCGGGTCAAATTTGGGGTATAAAAAGTGTGTACACAACGTGGCTGAGTCAAAGTTACACTATCTTTGCCTGGGTGGCACTCTCTCGTACTGTCTCGTAGTAGTACATCTCTCGTACTGTCTAGTAGTAGTAGCCTACATGTAGATGTAGTAGTAGTAGTAGTAGTAGCAAAGATCGAGAAGAATCTTTGGTAGTAGATTCTATCTAGTAGGCAGTTTAGTGAACGTGCACTCGGCAGGGCGAATCGGCCTCGATAAGCCCGTAGACCTTTGTGATCGGCCACGAAGCCTTGTGTTTTGATGGGTCTAAACAACTTAGTGTTAATCGCACTGCCACATCCGACAGGCCTTTATCTTTTTAAAAGGAAAAGAAATGGTCATCAAAATGGTTGAATTTGCGTGAAAATCGATTCGGTAGAACTGTAACTATTAAAATTTGCTTCTGAAAACAAGTTACAAGGCCATTTTTATAACTCGATGAGATAAAAACTACTGGCTGTATTATTCTGTATAAATTATGAAACTTCAGGACGTATTATTATTTTCTAACATCTTTTGCCGCCTTAGCTGTAGAGGTTGAAGTTTTCACAACACTAATAGATCTAGTAATAGGGCTTTCCGTAAAAAATGCATAGATCTACAAAAGCCGAACCACCGAATCGACCGGTCAGCGACCCGGGCACCCCGCTCTTCCCTGCACACTGTGATAACATGTTGCTTCGGTATAATTATTCAACTATTAATATGTGCTGCTATGGCAATTGGGATGTACTGACTGACAAAGCGATTCACAGTTTTGTTTTTATTTTACCATATATTTGACTTTAATAGTGCAGGTGATAGTTAGATCTAGATTCCCTGTCTAGAATCAGTAACTAGTAGCAGACAAATGCTAGAAGCAGCCAGAGAGCCTACAACTGCTAGATCTAGATCTAACTCATTGCTATGCCTTTGGGCTTTGGAATTTAAATAAAACGAATTGCACAGTTCTAGTTAATTTTAGATTCAGCAACTATCTGTATTTCCAGAATTAATAATAACAAATCTCACCATAACAATCACTTTTACTTTTATTAGAATAATTAGATCAACTTTTTTTCTAAAATCTGTTTTGCGCAAACTTAAGACTTTCTCTACGTGTAGAGCACAGAATTTACATTGTAAGCCTCTGCTCAGTCTTTTATTTTTAAGTATATACTTAATAAAATACGTATAGATATAGATCTATATACTCATTTTATGTTATTTTCTGGATATTGTTAAAAACGGGGTCTACCTAGCAAAATACTAGGTTTTAGGACAGGTGGACCCCGGGGTCACCGTAGTGAAATACATGTAAGTAGATTTATTTAAAGATTAGTAGACCCCGGGGTCACCGTAGTGAAATAAGTAGGTTTAATTTTAAAAGGATTGGTGGACCCCGGAGTCACCATAGCCGTAAAGGAATAAGAAGGTTTAATTAAGAATTGGTGGACCCCCGGGACACCGTGATTAAACCTACTTATTTTACTACGGTGACCGCATGGTCCACCTATTCTAAAACCTAACTAGTATTAAATTTCGTTAGGTAGACCCTGGGGTCCACCTTAAACCTAAACCTTCCTATTTCACTACGTTGACTCCTGGGTCCACCAATCCTTAAAATTAAACCTAGATCTACATGTACTTATTTCACTACGTTGACCCCAGGGTCCACCAAACCTTAATTAAACCTAGATCTACTTATAATTTCACTACGTTGACCCAGGGGTCCACCAATCCTTATTAATTTAAACCTAGATCTACTTATAATTTCACTACGTTGACCACGGGCTCCGCCAGTCTTACTATAAAATAAACTGAGATCTACTTATTTCACTATGTTGACCCCGGGGTCCACCGATCCTTAGTCAAACCTAGATCTACTTATTTCACTACGCTGATTCCAGGGTTCACATCCTAAAACAGCATTTTGTTAGGTAGACCCCGCGGTCCACCTATCCTTTTGGGGCTAGATAGACCCCGTGGTCCGCCTATCCACTTCCTTGATAATAACTGGAAAACATGCCAGTTGTCATGAATAGTGAAGAAAAATGTGAAAAAAAAAAGATAACGAGGTAGACGATAATTTGTCAAAAAAATTGCAAGTGCAAGTGAAAATCATAAGATAATTTTGTTATTTTCTGGTGATCTTTTCACGGTTTATAAAATGTTCCAGTGGGCTTACTACTAGATCTATGTCTCTGAAGAACATTTTGCTTGATTTTATTAGCTTTTTTCATGTACTTGAAAGCATAGAATAAAATAGTTTCACACAAATGTATGCACAATACCTTAAAAAAGAAAGATACGGTCATTGTTGTTGTTGTTTTTTTAACGGAATCCGTTTTACGTTGAAAAAAGCGCTAAAAACAAGTTTAAATTTTTTAAAGAATGCCCATAATATTAGGAATCCGAAATTACTACCTTGATCTAGTTTGCTGACTCTTTAATAACCATGAGCTGTTAAGAAAAAAAGAGAATGATATAGGATTTGTCTAAATATGACCATTAGTAAGATATTGCCCATTTTGTCCAATTATCCTTGCAGGTTTTAATCACCCTGTACTGCACCTCAATAAGCACAAAAAGAATATTTCTGTGACTTTGTATAAAGGTGTTTTGTAGTTGAGTTCTATGTAAAATTCTCAACAAAATAATGTACATTTGGACCGTACAACTGAGATAGACACTCATGCACACAATAACATTCACACATTACACATACACATACAAACACACTACTACATTTACTCTCTCTCTCTCTCTCTCTCTCTCTCACCACAACCACACACAAAACAAACACATACACACACACACACACAACTCTTACACTTGGTCCACTTATTTAGAATCATCCTCTATTTTGAAATAATCCCCCGCACTAAATAAAAAGATCAGTAGAATCTCGACCTTCCGAATCCATGGTTAGTTCAAGAAATCTACCATATGATGTGGCCTAAATAAGGTAAGGGAGGGGGGTTTAGCTTATTTGGGCCACAGTGTGGCCTAAATAAGGTAAGGGAGGGGGGTTTAGCTTATTTAGGCCACACTGTGGCCCAAATAAGGTCACCCTTTAGAGAATGCAGACAAATTGTTGTGAATATTCTTACCTAATTGTTGTTAAGTAATATAATTATACAAATGTATGATTTTTATCATATACTAATGTAAATTATAATATTAATAATGATAATGATAATAATAAATAAAAACAACAATAAATAATAATAATGATAATAGTAATAATGATAATAATAATAATAGTACATGTAATAAAAATAATACATCTAATAATAATAATAATAATAATTATTATTATTATTATTATAATAATAATAATAATAATAATAATAATAACAATAACAATACTTTGTTTACTCTCTCCCTGCACTATCAGGCACACAAGGCAGAGAAACAGTAGTTTACGCTACACATGTCTGTCCCTGGCCACTTTCTGTGCGTGTAACTTTAACACATTCAGGCCCTGGATGATTTTGAGTTTGGGTGATTTTTCTAAAACAAAATTTTTTCCAAGCTTAGCTCAACCTTTATTTTCTACCACACTGCCCATGACTTATATCACATTAACTCCTGCAAGTCATAGGCCTATTCCTTGCTTTGTGATAATAGCAGCAAGTTTAGTTATAAGTTATGGAAACGTTAGCATGTTCAGTGTAATGATATTATTATAGCAAGTATTATTCCCCAAAGTTGTCTGAAAAAATGGAGATTTGATACAATACGAAGATACAATAGAGTACAGGCAGGTAGACATTTTTGACGAATGAGGGAAGCAAAGAAACAAGACAATTCAGCAACTGTTCAGTAAATGTGCCGACTTCTAAGAGTTGATGCTGTATTGTTGTTTCAGTAACCAAAGGACATCCTTCAGCTGCAGCTGTTTCTACCCGTACACAGGGACGTTATGTGAGACTGATGCCAGCACCACCACAAGTACGACGACAACAACCTCAACAACTCCTACAACGACGACGACGACTCCAACAACTACCACCTCCACTACGCCAAGTACGACAACAACAACAACAACACCTTCAACTACAACCCCTACCACTACGAGTACAACACTTTCAACAACTTCCACTACGCCTTCCACCACAACACTTTCAACAACCACCACGACAACAACAACCATTCCTACTACACCATCAACGTCAAAAGCAACGACAAAAGCAGCAACAACATCAACAACAACATCAACAACAACAACAACAACAGCATCATCCACAACAGGATCCACAACAACAAATGCGTCAGCTCCTTTTGGTAATCACTCAGCTCTTAACTCCAGCAGACAAAGAACAACCCCAGTCCACAACACTAATTCTTTTCCAACAGCAACAACCACTAGCAGGGCAACAGAAAATGGCGAAACTGCAGACCATGATGCATTTTCATCGTCAAATTCCTCATCATCCCCCTCATCTTATTCGTCTTCCTCATCTAGCACTACTATGTCTACAACTGGTACAGTATTCATTCCAGCACTTTCTGACTCCTCTTTCTTCGGCTAACTGCTTCACTCTCTCAGCTGGGCAGGTGTCACCCATACAGTGTGTTGGAGGCTGAATACTTTTCAAGCATCAATACTTCGAACTATTTTGCACTAACTATCAGTAACTTCAGATTTCCTGTGTGGTCTTTAAACCAGAAAAATGAAAATGTGTTGAACCGTTTTTCAAATATAATTTGTACTGTTCCAAATGGACTTCTAACACTTTTCTCTAAAGTACAGCTGTTGTCAGGTTGGTTTTGGCTGGTTACTGAAACAACAATACAGGATATAAGTAATTTAAGTCATGGGCAGTGTAGTGGACAGACAATAAAGGTTGAGCTCAGCTTTTGCCTTCCTTTAATGTAGCATGATTCGATAATGCTGTGAAGCTATAGCTTAAATGGTAAACTCGTTTGAAACTTTCTTAAAGCTGCTGTTCTGCTGCTATTACTATGTTCAGTTCGCAATATTGATGCTGATGTTGATGCCATGAAATAGTACTCAGTGTCAAGTCAATGCCAAGACGGTGGTATCAGCTCAGCACCACCAAACACAACTCTAACATGTTAGACCTATATAACAAAGGCCATGCCCACATGCAGGACTTCAATTATCCTGAGAAAGAATGAAACACAGAATGAGGAAGAACACTGAGGGTGTGGAGAAGAATTTGGAAAGGGCATTGCTGTTGGATTGGATGACAAAATATAGAGACGATACAAAATTTCCCCCGTTAGCCTAGGTACCTCTGTGAAACTACATCCCCCGCCCCACAATGCCTTTCTGTCTCTAAAACAAAACTACAAATACAAACAAATGATAGAAAGAAAAGAAAAACAAACAATATAACAAAACTTTAAAAAGAAACATTCAAAAACTGTCAAAACAAAAAAGCAGTTCGCAACCATACATTCAAACACACACACACACACACACACACACACACACACACACACACACACACACACTCACACACACACACACTCACACTCACTCACACACAAACACTCACTCACACACACACACAAACACACACACACAATAAACACACACACAGACACACTCACACACACCCACACACACACACACACACACACACCCACACACACACGCACACACACACCAGTACAATGCTATATTCTCATTATACTTGTCCCATTTACACAGTAGAAATATTAAATGAAATTTAGGATTCATAAGTTCTAGAATATTTGACATTCATGTGACGAATTTAATGTCACCTGTTTATTACTTTTGAGTAAGGAAGGCACTACATGTAAACAAAATCGCATTGTGCTTTACTCTGGGCACAATATTGCAGCCCTACTGCACCTATGTCTCTCAATTATTGAAACATCTTTTTGCACAATCATGACTTTACATTTTTGGGGAAAAGCACCAAAAAAAGAACAAAGAGAAGGGGAGGGGGGGAACAAGAAGAATGAGGTAACTGAAACAAGTTTACAAGTAAACTCTTGATGAATACCCTAAGTGGCTCAGCAAAAAAGATACCAATAATGAAATATATTGGCGGCATGATATGTTCTCCTGCATGTGGCTGGAATGATTAATAATAAATAATACTGTAATAAAAAGCCAAGGCTCTATGGTTTTTAAAAAAAGGGTGTCTGTAACTTACCCTGAAAATTAACCCATAATATCCCTTTTCTGTTTGTTCCTATCCTGCCTTTATGATGTGATATTTTTCACACTGACATAAATTCAACTTTAGTTATTTCTGTAACTTCCTGAAACTCTAGTGATGTGTAATAACCATTGGAAACAAAAGTTTCTAACCAAACGTGTCTGTATTATATTATACACTAACACTGTCTAGGTAGCTGGTGCTCTTGTGTGGTTTTCTCTTTCTTTCCTATCAAACGTCTATCATCCTTTTCTCTCCTCCTTTTCTGTGTATGTTATATTCTAGTGCGTTATATGCTCCAGCTGTATTGCAAGTTCCGTAAAGCTCTTATTTTTAAAAAAAAAAGGAAACAAGTGTCGAATCTGATGAACAACATGGTAACATACCCAAGTAAACAGTTCTTTGCAGAAGGAACTGAAGTTATAGCTAGAGCTAGTAGGGAAATATTGTGAGGGTGAAATGTAAATTTGAATCTGAATTTAAATATTGGGGGTATTTTCATTGTTAGCTTTATTGCAGAAAAGATCATAATTAATGACTACAGATCATAATACTGGTTAGGCCTACGTTATAAACTATCTTGGATAGCATGTACTATTTTGAATACAATCTTGTTTTTTATGGGAAGGGGGGAGGGGGGGGGGGCTTTTCAACACTAGAGACATGTTACAAATAGATCATTTTAAAGATTAGAAGTTTTTGGGTCTATTTTCTATTTTCTTGGGTTTTTTTTCTCAGACTTAAGCCTTGATTGTCAATAGGCACAAAAGAAAGGTGAAAAGAAAAAACAGCCTAGTACATACTGAGAAAAGATGAGCACCCCATCACCAAAGATTTTATGACTTAAGAGTGACATTCCAACAGGGATAAAATTCCTCCTCCTGTCTGTATGTCATATTGTATATCAGTATAGTGGTAGCTTTAAATAGCTATGTGACAAAGTAAACCTTTCTTGACGTACATGAAAGATATTCAGAATGGTCATTATTTTTTATATAATTTTAGCCAGTTTTGAGCGGCAACGAACTTTAAAAGCATGTAGATCTACATCGAAGATTTATTCACTTACTTATTGGTATAGTGTGCATGCTGTGAATACATTGTTATCATAGAACAGTTCCTAAAATGTTTTGTTATTTGTGTGCCATGCTCAGTAACTTTCATGCTTTGTTGTACTAATGTTACTCTCTTTTTTTTTTTTACCCTATCAAAATTAAAACATGTGCACCTAAATATGTACTCCATAATATGACCTGTTGGCTCAATGTTTTATAGTCCCATCTTTTCCTTTGTTATTATATATTATATACTATAATAGTGCAGCGGTCAAAAATGCATGGCGCAACTTATAGTAAAATATTTCCTTAATTATCGAACATAGATTCTCCAACTTTTTTGCACAATGACTTATATCAATTTGTCTTAACAGGTGAATATTTGTTCAAACTCCTGCACGCTCTATTCCAGAAAATTCCTTAATTAATGCTATTAAAAATTCTCAGTCGATGGTTTCTGAAGATTTTTTAAAGTTTACAGCTCGGGCAATATCGCTTTTAAAAGCAAATCTGTCGGTTTTTTTCTAATCGCAACAATATGCTTATATTGAATGTATGTAACTGACTGGTAACAGAATAAGAAAGTGGTAATGTAGGCTAATTGTTACCTAGCTTTCTGCAAGTCATTTTTGTAAATAGAATGATTGCCAGCTGGACAGATGGAGATCGTGACTGAGAGATATCAATGTTTTGCAGTGAACTACAGCTGTACCTTAGTTTGGTTAAGATGCTCAAAGCTGAAGTTTTATGGTCACAACAATTTAAGGATACACGACATAGTAGAAGTACACATTAATTTTTTTTTTAATACAACGTATAGGAATGGCAGAACCATAGGGTTTCCTAAAAACTGACTTTGTTGTGTTAATACTTACACATTTTAATATCTTCTTCTATTTAACTTTCAGTAGGTTCTGGTTCGAATGAAGGCCTGGAGCAACAGCAGATAAAGAAGGTAAGAAGGACAAACAAAAACAGATGGAAAAAAAAATGACCTATAAACCCTCTCCCCCCAAAAAAACAACAACAATCCCAAACAAAACAAAACAAAACTTCCCAAAAATAAAACCCCAACAATACAATAAAACAGCAAAACCCCAACAATCTTTACCACCTGCATATTGCCATTAATTTCTTCCAGGAAGTGAGAGAAATATGGTCTCTGCCAAAGTTGATAGCTACCAAGAAATCCATTTCTACAGTCATGGTCCTTGTCTTTTTGGGTAACATGCAATTAATCTAAAAGTTGGTCTGGCAATATGTACTACAGCTTTGAAAGAAAATGAAACATCACAGGCCAGGATACGCTTCCTCCAAAAAAAATTGGCACACTATATACCTGCTCGGATCAAGCAAATTCAATTATAATACAATTATTTATTAATAGATGGTAATAATGTAATGAATCAAAAATTGTTTCTCATGGCACCACAACCGTTGTACGGTTTTGCTGTGGCCCCTATATTATTCTAATAACTTCATCATCATCATCATCATCATCATCATCATCATCATCATCATCATCATCATCCTCATCATCATCATCATCATCATCAGATGGATCCACGGTTTACCTGAGAAACAGACAAGCCCATGTTCGCCTGAATGGAGAAACAAGCAAGAGCCAGAATTTCAAGCAAGGGCTTCCCCAAGGAGCTGTACTATCACCGCTGCTGTTTATATTCTTCATAAACAACCTGGCAGAATCCCTCCCATACCTTGACTCACAACAACTAACCTCCGCCAAGCTGATCTACTCCATGTTCGCTGATGGCTGCACAATATAGGCCAGTCACGCAAAGAGAGAAAAGGCAAATGAAGCGACGCAGTTGATTGTGGGCATGGTTGTGAAATGGAGCAATGAATGGAAGCTTACCTTGAATGCAACCAAGAGTGATGTGCTTCTTCTCAACATGGGTGAAGGAGGCAACGTGGCAACCAATAATTCAGATCGAAGGGAAAAAGATACCATTCAACCCCACTCCACGTCTGCTGGGGGTCTACTTGGATAGACAGCTAACCTTCAACAAGCACATTGAGGAGGTGTCCAAAAGTGCAACCTCAAAAATGAAGGTTATCGGTGCTGTCAGCAACTCAAAATGGGGCTGGGGTAAGGAGTCACTCAAGAAAGTATATCAGATGTTTGTGAAAAGCAAGATGGATAATGCTGCCCCAGTGTGGCAGCCGTGGCTCAGTGAGACTAGTGCAAAGGCCCTGGACAGAATACAAAACAAAACCCTCTGACTTGTATCAGGTCAGATGAAAACAGCACCTACAGAAACGCTGCGCTATGAGACCAGAACTGAGCACTACACCACCTATACAAAAAGAACATGCCTCAAGTCTGTAGAGATGGCTAAGAGATTACCAGACAACCATCCTAGAAAGAAAGCCCTTGATCAAGCAGTCAAGCCTAAAAACAGCAGGAAAAGTTGGTTTCGGATGGGCACCGATCTAGCAGACCACCTCCCCCCTGAAGCAAATATGGTGAGAGCTTGTCCATGGGAGACCCATGGCAAAATCAAAATTCGGGACAGAACTGAGAGGAGTAAAAGGAAAAGGTGATGATCCTGTAAAGGCACGTGAAGCATCTGAGGATGTGATCAAAGAGGTTAGTGCAGATGTGACAATTTTCTCCGATGGATCGGCTGTCGCAGGATACCGCGAAGGTGGAGCAGCAGCAGTGGTGATAATGAATGATGAACCACCATGAACAGAAAATATTAAAACTAAAGGTGCATTCCTTACATCATCTTATGACGAGGAATGCCAGGCAATGATGTCTGCCGCACAATGGATTGCTGACAATTGCCACAGTAGGACCAATGTGCTGATCTTGACTGACAGTCAGTCCCTCTGCAAGGGGCTGCTGGGCAACAGCTCGGACATGAATGATTTGCGCCGAAAGTTCAGTGAAGCCAGAGCCACAATAATAATCCAGTGGATTCCAAGCCATGTTGGAATAGAAGGAAATAAGGCAGCAGACCAAGCTGCTAATGAAGCCAGAGAGATTGAAGGAAACAGACGACCAACAACATACAGAGGAGTCTTTCCAATGATCAAGAGGGAAATCAAAGACCCACCATGTAGAACTAGGTACCAGCACCTGGAAGATGTGTATTCTGGGTGCTCCTATAAGCGGGAACAAAAGTCTATCACATGTCACTGGGACCAGGTTGAGCTAGCGAGACTGCGGTCGGACCATCATTGGATTTTAAGATGGTATAAAAACTTT